TGTAACACTCATTACTGGAATTATTACCAGTGCAAGTGTTCGAGGATGATCCAGGAAAAAACAAGAACTAATTATACTGCAATGAGCGACGGAATGAGGTGTCAAGAGGACATCCGAAGAATTTTAAGTATAATAGCACGGCGAGAGCTCAAAGCTTATGAGCGATCAAATGAGCCCTCATAGCATAGGCGTTGAGCACCGTTGGTTTAAGTTATTATAGTAAACCCGGAAGCTGTCCAAAGTTTCTTTAAGGAACTATTTATAGAGTTCCAGTATAATTTGAAATTAATCTGTATTCTGAAAAGACTAATGATTAGAGATTTTCGGAAGAGCAAATCAGTAAACTTGACATATATATGTTATCTGAACCATAATAACAGGGACCCTCAAAAAACCAAATAGTCTTAAGATGCTAACAGTCACTCGAGAATGTAAAAATATTTAAAATAATCTTGTGAGTTACTGTATAAGTCATCTTCCACGGACAATGATTCTCAATTAGCACTTACATAAACCCCAATTAACTTGCACTTTTACTTTCCGATCAAGTGATAATGTCAAGAAGCTAACGGAAACGAAACTCTCAAGAAAACTCATTCGAATTGATTTCTGAGGGTTGTTTGTCAGGCCGAGACAGACCCATAAAGGTGACAATCAAACCGCAGATTTTATTAGCTGACATATTTATGAATATTATTAACATTTCGTTTGGCAAACATTAACGCGGACAAAAAGAGCGAGGGAAATGCGAACAGGAAAATGCGCAAAAATGGAAATGTTTTTGCATTGGCCAGGATGCGGATTGTGGATTCAGGACTCTGGATTCTGGATTCCGGATTCCGGATCCTGAATTTCGAAGGGTGCGCGCCTCCGTGGCTCATTAATTTTTATACGCGGTGCGTGTGTGTTGCATTGCAATAAAAACATATTTTATTAGTTGACGAAGAGCCAGAGGCTGGAGTCGGAGCCACCACCAAGCCTCTGACGACTGCCTGTCAGCATAAATTCATTATTTATGGTGCAATCAATGGAGCTGCCGAGCGTATGTCGAACCCATCAAACTCGTCAGTTCGCATCGGAGTCATCATCATCGCGGCCATTTTCCGAGCTGATCTGCGTCTGCCACAAAGCGGAAGTTTGTTTATTTTATAGTTTCTGACGCCCGTCGTTGGCCTTCTGAAGGCGCGAAAATTTGTCCATTTCAGTGTTCTGGATTTCGGGTATGTTGGCTTTTATCAAAAGGAGATGTGGTCTGAAAATATATAAGCTCAGCTTATGATACTTTATTTTGCAGGGTATTTTACTATTCGACCTTGTTCTACTTTAACATTTTTGCACACAATTTGCGGCACGACGGGTTGTCCTTTTCTGACAGTTATGTGTCTCAAAATCTTTTGGGCAAATTTGAATGCATTCCTCTCGGTGGGGACGGGGTATATTTTGATAGAGGGTGTGGCTGGGTATTACCATAACTCACGGCGACTCGGGATAATTTGCCTTTCGAGAACTATTAGCTCGTAATCTCGGGTTCAAGCTGCAAACAGAAAAACTAATTAAAATGTTCCTCCTGCTTGATGAATGGCCTCGGACTTCCTCTAAGCGGACAGATATCGTGATAGGGAATCCACCCTGTAATTAATACGATTTGGGTGAATGTGTTCCATCATCATCAACATCATCTTGCGTGATTTGCTTCACCACCGTTGCGGAAAAGTTCCTTCAACCTATATTCATAGCACATCCTGACGTGGAAAGGCGGTCACGCATCGTCTTCTTGTCATAATTTTCTTATTTCGCTTTTCGGCCAAATATCCTATTAAATATTCAAGCGAATCTGTAGGATGTCAGCTCGGGCCTTCCTCTTAATGACATTTCAATAATTAATGTACTTTCCCTGCTTTCTTTTTTTCTTTTCCCCGCTCGTCTCGTTTCCTGGCTCGTGTGCGTGTCCTTTGGTCTGGACTTTTCGACTCTGACTATCAGGCTATCAGACTAGCTGACTGGCTGGCTGACTGACTAGATATCATCAATCAAAGTATATTTTTAAATGTTTCGCTTCTTTCGGGCATCTCCTGCTGTCGCGGCTTATAAATGATGTTTTTGTTGAGCACTTTTTCTTTATTTTTTGATTACATTTTTGGGGGCGCTTCTTTTTGTAAATATTTTTTCAGAGGTTACATTTTGATAATTTCAAGCAACTAATCCAATTTCCTCGTTCGTACAATTTTCCTGCTTTTGCACAACTGTCATAATAGCTGAGGTGGAGTTTCGGTGGAGTTTTCCAATTGATTACACGACACCCACACGCACACGCCTCTGGCTAATCCTTGGGCAAGGACCTTGGCTCTCGTAATGCCATAACGGAAGCATTTCTACTTTTCTGCACTTGAAGTCTGAGCTAATGACATTAGGCTGCCTGCCATTAGTTCTTGACTGATTCGATTTGATTTGATTTTATTTCGTCTATCAATAAAGATGAGTTAAAGGTAAAAGAAACAACCACAAAAATGTAAAGAAAAAAGTCTAAACATTAAGTCTAAAAATAACTTTGAAAAATAACATTTTTATAAGTTCTTAGGTTTTGTTCTTTCTTATTGCAGACTACTGAAGAATCTGGCAACCCAAAACTATCAATTTCCCCTCTAGCCACTTCAACACTCGTTCCCAAAAAAGGCAACTCGAACTCAGACAGTTTAATTTTGGTTTTTTGTTAAGGGATTTGGGATCCCTTTTTTTGGGTCTTCATTCATTTCTGCACGAGCATCCGCGGATCGTTCTTATTGTTCTTACCTTTCTGCCTGTTGTCTGGGTTATTCTGCTCAAACTAATTCGTTTTTGGAAAAAAAGAATAGAACAAAAATTTGGCCAACATGTCAGACAATTATTGGAAGGTAGCCATCGCAGCCAGCGATAAAGATCAGTCAAGGCCAAAGCCCAGAACATGAAAAAAGGGATACTCCTCTTGACCGAAAATAGTTCTTGGAAATTTATGGAAAAAGTTTTGTTTTGATTCGAGTTCACTTAACTCTGAGCGGTCTGCCCCAGCTCTTACTTCTTGCAATATTAGAAACACTTTCCGAACTAATTAACGCGAATAAGTCCCGAAAGAATTCCCTGCCAGGGATTAAATGCTTTCTGTCTGTGATTTTTACAACTCCGCGCTTACAAATCGCTCGACATTTGGCGCAGCTTCAACATAATCATAAACTTGTGTTAATTATTTTTCATATGCCAATCCCGCCTTTTCCGCGGGCAAAAGTTTTATCTGTTTAACGTTAATTAGTTTTGTTTGGCAAAGTGAAATTTCTGATTTCTTTCTGCGCGAGCTTCTGCTAACTTTTATGAACTTTTTTCGGGCAATCAAAGTGAATTGAACTGCAGGATGTGCAAGGATATGGCAGCTGCATAAGTGCAAAAGTTTAATTAAAACTCCTGGCCATATCCTTCGAGCTGATGACGGGACCCTCAAGGATTGCACATTGATTTTTTCATGCAATTTGCCGCTTGCAAAAATTAACTTAAAAATGCAAATTGTTTTGTTAGCACCTAATTTTTTGACATTATCGAGGGGGCGGAGGATGTCAAGATTGCCGGAGGGGAAGATTGCCGCGTCTTTGGTGGAAAGTTTTTGCATTGAAAAATCTTGGAAAATATTTTTGTATTTCCTTTTTGCATAATTGAATTTTCTTTGTGTGTTTCCCGGCTGCCGCTTGCTGAACAATGTTGTCGGAGTGGCTGAAAAGTTTTTCTCAGAGTGGAAAAGTTGGACTGGAAGAGCTCATTCTCCTTAAAGTTTGCACATTCCTTGGAATTGGGAATTTCATTTTTGGCAATGCTAAAGTATTGAGTATTTCACGGTGTAATCTTAAATATTTCATATCTAAATATTTTACTTAGAGGAAAAATATAAAACACATAAATGATTTTAAAAAGATTGTACAAAGAGATTGATACAAAATTTCTTACCAATTTTACATGAAATGTAAATCTTTTATTTATTTTATATGTAACCTTCACCTTTGATCTGAAAAAGAATTAACTTATAAACATTCGTAGACTTTTGGACCAGGGTTAATACCATTGGTAGCCACAAAAATTTAATCATGCTCTCCGAGTCATAAGACTAAAATTTCTTGTATTTTCATATTTACCATAACTTTTGAACTTAAAACAGCATGAAACAGCATTACCAAAACTGATCTTCAAATGGAGCTGTTACGATTTCCCAGTCATTCTGATAATAACTTTTTATAAAAGGGGGATTAACTTTAAGAGACATTTTTCTATGTTCCTTTTTCGTGATTATTAAAACGTACAACATAGTTTTTAGTGGCTATTAAAATGAGTTATTACAAGAATATTATATAGGAAAAAACTAAAGAATATTCAAAGAAACTTGATTTAAAACAATGTCAAAAAAGCAACCAAAAAAGTAATTAATTTACAAAAAAATCTATAAATTTAAACCTTAATATGTGGAAACTTTTCCTGTCACTATTTACCACAAGCGTGCTATATGATTCTAATATTAATTGATTTAATTTTAATGTTTTGTAATGTTGTATAGTAATATGGATTGTTAACCTATTTGAATTCAGTGAAACTTACCATAGGTGGTATGACATCTTTTTAAAGTGGTTTCTCAACCTATGAAATGTGATGAAATCTTTTATTATTTTAAATGGCGAAAAGATAAATCAGATGCCGTCGGAAGACACCTAAAATTATTCACAGAAATTTCCAAATACTTTCTTCCTTATACTTAACAAAAAGATGCCGTCGGAAATCGGAAGCAGCCACTTGATTGATCTGTAAATTGAAAGGCGATTTTCTAGAAAGTTCGCTTCTGCCGTCGGTGAAATGAAATTGAAAATCTTACAAATGTGGTTATTCCACCTTAAGACTTTTGCGTCATCATCTCGTGCGATTGACGTTTTCCTGTGAATAATCTGAGAAATTACCCGCCATCAATAAATGAATAATAAGAAGATCGTATTTAATTTTTTTGAATTTTTTTGTTTTATTGACTCTTTGTTTGACAAAAAATTGATGCAATTTTCAGCCAACTACGGTAAATTTTGTTTTTTTCTGATTCATGTTCTTAAGAAAAACTAAGAAAAACTTGGCTTACAAAAGAACTTACAAGCTATTACAGTAGTAATTCATTTAAATAGGCATTAAGTTTAAATTATTTCTAAAGAAACTATTTTTTTCTTGACCTTAAAAAATGTCTATAAAAATTGGGGATTTTATAAAAGATTTTTGAGGATTTTTTTGTTTAATTTTTTTGTTTGATTTTTTTGTAGAAACAAAACCATTATCACAATCGCTTTGATGAGTAAACTAAAATCGGGTGGGTGGTGTTGTGGCTGTGTCCTTGACTGCTGTAGAAATCGAATGCCGTCGGCTGTTGAGAGATGACTGTATTTCTGGGCTGGCTCATGCTGGTTTCCTTTGTACTCTGGATTTTGGACCGGACTATTGGTTTTCTGGTTTTCCCCCGTAGTATTAGTTAGTTACTCGAACTCCTCACTGCGATGGTTTACGGTATTTGCCGCACTTTCTGCCGACCTTCGGCGGACATGGGCTGTATAGGCGTAGAGTTTCCAGGACAACGGTGGCCAGGAGTCTCCACTGGGTCTCCCGCATTCGAAGGATCTGCTGCTCCTTCTGCTCCGCCTCCCGCAACAGAGTTGCCTGGTCGGGAATGAAGAATGCCACTGCCATGTCGTGTGGTTTTATCTCTTTTAGTTCGGAATTACACAATTGCCAATGACTCAATGACTTTCTCTTCGGCACAATGAATATTTATCAAGCGGGTTCTTTGTTGCTGGCACACACACTACTTTGTTGCTTTCGTATTTTCGAGTTCGTTCACTTTGTTCTGGGTATTTCCCTTCCTTTTGAGATACTTTCGTTGCGCTGGCTGACTTCCAACTGAATGCGATGGGTACTGCTGTGAGGCTATTTATACCTGGTGCTCTCCAGCCGCCTTATTCTCTGTTTTTCTGGTGGTGGCTGCTCTCTTTTCGGCCCTCTTTCGCTCTTCTGCTCTCCGGTTGGGGTTTTTTTGTTTTGGTATTTTTGTTGACATCGCCTCATTCGCAGCTCCCAAAAAAAAGCGTACTCATTTTTTGGTGTGGGCGGGGGGCGTGGCCACCTTGCGCCTGTTGCCAAGCGTGTTTTTTGTGTGAGTCTTCTTCTGCCGTAGTTGTTGCTGTTGTTGTCAGGTTGTTGGCAGCGCCTTTGTTGTAACTGTGTGCGGCGAGAAGTACAGTTAGCATATTAATTGTATTAAATCGTCGGAGCATGACAAACGTTATTCAACAAGGAGTTCGCCGGAGAGAGAGATATGAGTGATGCCATGGAAGTGAAGTTCGAAATACGCTGTAGGATAAATAATGCATATACCCCCATGTATTACTTATGGTTCATGGAAATTAGATGGAATTTTGTAGACAGCTTATAAAAATTATATACAGGGATTTACCAAGTTTCACATTAATATCTGCAATCATTTTTGTCTAATATTTTATTAGTATTCACTGGAAAAGTTATTAAACATTCTACTGAGTAAAGACTCTAGCATTGTAAATTTAGTTATGAACACAAAAATAAATAATCCCACCTATTTTTCAGACCTAACTAATAATTGATTCTATTTAATCAATTGATTCTATTCTATTAAAGTTAAAAAGAATAGCCGTGTAAAAATACACTTAAGTGTCTAACTTAAGAGTTGAAACTTATTTTTCAAGAAAGACTCAAGTCACATTTTATAAGACAAAATTTAATGATAATATATTTGAGAGTAGTAATCGAACCTCTGATAATTTTAGCTTTAATTTATGTACTTAACAGTTAACATTCGCCTCATAATAACCTAACCTAAGTATAAGATTAAAATATGCCAAATGTGAAATACCCTCTCAAAGGGTATTAAAAAGAGAGCGGTGCGTGTGGGAGGCATCTCTTGAAATATGGGCAAGTGGGCAAAGATGAGTTCCCGTTTCTTTTATTTTACTCTCTTTTTTTCTTAGACAAGCCCACCTGACACGTCCGGACATATCTCTCTTTATCAACATATCGCGAGCTCTACAAATGTTTACACAATAATCAGAAGCTTCCGACCAAGAATTATGACAATCTCTCATAAATTAACGGATACAGTCCATATCGAGTATATCGACAACAATGGGCTCGTCCCATCGTTTTTCATATATTTCATGTGCAATTTTTATTTTCATTAGAGCGGAAAATGTCGGATATGATATGATACGATATGAATGCTTTCGCTGGAAATTACACACGAAAATTGAACTGGGGATTAAGGTATTATTAATTAGCGCTCTGTTGGATATGATTTCTGGACAATGAGTTCTTGAGTATATTATATAGGAAGTTTTCATTTTGAATTGTCATATATGATATAAACTCTCTTATATTATTTCATTATCATACATAGGTTCTTATTTATCTTGCGTATGCGGTTGATAAGTTTAATTTAAATGTAATGGTTCCTTCAATGAAGTGTGTGGTGTGGTTTTCATTAGCATGTGAAACTTAATTGCAACTTTCTCTTTTATGACGTCAATATGTATTTTGAGCCGTTTGAGCAAGAACTAACTGGAAAGACTAAGAATGTACTTACACTATTTTTTACATTTAAGCTAAAGAGTTTTTAATAAAGAAAATAATTTAGTCCCAGTTGCCGGCTATATATTATGAAGTTATGGATATAATTATTAATAAAAATTCTGTAATATATTTTCCCTTAGACTCCGCGCACCATTATACAAGCTTCAGGGAGTTGAGAGCCAACACCCAGGATCTCGACATAAGTTGCTAGTTCCATTTAAACTCCACCCACAATGCCGTGCACACTGTACCGTACACACATACACACAGGCACACAGCCGAATCTTACGGCGTGCGTCTCAAGTGTTTCCACTGTGATAGAGAATAGCCACCACTTTGGGGTTGTTCTGCGTCATCGTCTATAGCAACTACCTCCCCAGCTCCGTAGTCTAGGTCTATTGTCGAAGTAACTACTTCGCTTTCCTCTGTCATTCTCTGGCTCTTTCTTTCATCGCACCCTCCCACTCGCACAGCAGCAACACTCGCCGTTATAGTTCTTTTTTCACGGGTCTTTTCTTTCCGGGTTTGCCTCAGCATACAAATATAAGTTAATATATATATGTGTGTGTAGAAATCCGGGAAGGTTGGGCGTGGCTTGCTTCCTAACAGCGTTTTATGCTCCAGAGGAAACCAAAAAACGGGCGTTTGCCTCTCTTTCGCACGTTTTGGGGGACCAATGTGGTGCAAGTTGGGAATTTATGTTTTGGGCTGCTTCGTTTTCTGGGGCGGAGTTTAGGTTGTGACCTTTTTTTTTGGTTTATTTTGATGTGGCTGAATCACTGCCGCATAGCCGCCGAGGGTGGAGCCTGAAAGGGTCTTAAGTTAACCGGAATATGGCCAACATTATCCCTTAAATGCTTGCCCTTAACCTTAACCTGCGGTAATTTGCGCATTAGCAATAATTGAGGCTCTCGAATGTCGATTAGTTCGATGATTAACCTCTTGAAACCTTTAACGCAAACTGGCTTCTGTTTTTCTTTTTCACGAGATAGTCATCTAAGTTTGTAATTGCCCAATGAGGCGAAATCTCGAAACTCTAAGATAGTTATCTGGGATTTTGTTTACTTTTGAATTTCTCAAAGGATTACACGATTTCAGTTTCTTGCCAGTCATGCGGGTTATTATTGCAATTATTATTCAAATATGTTATCGTTTGATTGGTTTACAAGAAGTAAACCCGAACATTGACTTACTTAAGAACCCATATATCATTTGCATAGCCAATTGCCTGACATTCAATCTTGGAGTTTGTCAAATTGGATTATGTTTCCTTCGATTGAGTTTTCAATCTACATGTTAAATGACCCACATAGTACTCATTCCTGGGAAGTGTGTCAATCGAATTTTCAATCATCCCGGAAGTTTCCCGATCCCGTTTCTGATCGGGATTCCAGAGATTCACTTTACATTTCGTGAGACATCCAACGAGATGTACACAAATGAAAGCAAATTTTCAGCGTTAATTTCATCAGTCTTGTTTTTCTGCCCATCCTCTGACGTGTCTGAGTCTTTGTCTGGGACTGCCTCAAAACGTTATATCTTACACAGACCGTATAAGCATGTATGGAACATTCGTAACATTCACGACTGCTAATGAGTAACATCAACAATGCGATAACTTGCGCAACTTGCTGGGATTTTTCGATCTTGTTTATTGTACCGTTATGTAGGGTATTACGATTGTTTTTATGAAAGAATCTTAAAGAATATGACAATGTTTTAGGTAGAAACTGCGGAGTATTTGAGAGTATTTAGTATAAGTGGCGTTATAGTATGGTTAGTCATTGCAGGTACCCTTGAAGGTTGTTCTATATTTCAAGCTCCATTGAACGATTAAAAATTTGTTCCATATATGATTAGTTTATATCTTTATAGTTATATGCTGCTTTCTCCGTTTCCATTTAATTTATAATTGCAGTTTCAGATAATTTTTTCAGCCTTTCCGATAAACGATTATCAATTTTATGGCAGTTTTCTTTTAAATAAATTAATAGCTAAAATGGTCCATATTGAAAATGGTTTTTTATTAGATTTCCTTATAAGTAAGTTTACCCATTAATTTCTTGGGATTTATTTCTAAACTGGGGTCAACTCAAGTTGCTTTTATTTTTGTTATGTTATGCCATAACTTTTAAGATGCCTTTAAAGTATATCATTAACCTTTGGTTTTTATAAATTCGAATTTAATGAAATGAATAACTTGATTGTAATTCTAAATCATGGAACATAGCACCAATTTAGTAATGTAAACATATTACTGCCTGCCTTATATCAACTCAAAACCAAAACAAAATTAATTGCAATACAGCGCCTTGATAATTAGGTCATAATCATCATTCATACTCAGAGTTCCGTTTCAATTTCATTTCCTCAATCAGGTTGATTCCGCCCCCTCCCACCATTCCTTTACTTAATTTATTTCCAAGAATTGCGCAACGTTCTCCCAAAAGTGCCCGAAATTTTGTCATCTCTTTGTTGCCCCCGCACTGTTTTCAATCTCGAAAACTCTCAATTTCTCACACATCGCTGTTTGTGTATCTTTTTCCTCGGCTGCGGTCTTTCGTTTCGTTAATTTGTGTTAATTTTTTATGATCCCAACTGGTGGTCTGGTTGGGTCCGCTTTTCGATCTTGTCAGAAATGTATATTTTGTTTTATTTGATTTCCCATTTAGAAAGCCCAGACGGGGGGAGCAGAAGAAACAAAGACAATTGCCAAGTGATCCGTAGCACTCGGGTCATTAACTCACCCTCCTCCAACCTTTTGCCGTTGCCCCCGTCCTCCATATACCTCGATTCACTCATTTTTGTAACGCCTGTCATTGAGGCCTGCTTAGGCAGACGATCCCAACCGATATCCAGCGATCCGACTGTCTGGGTCGGAAGCTTAAAGCGCACACCGCCAGGGAGCTGCGATTCCCAGACCCAAGGCCCGAGACCACAGACCCGATTCTCGGGATGAGTCATACCCTCGAAACCGTCGGTGGATGGGGTAGGGGTTTCTGGACGGGGTTCCGCGCACGCTCTCATTCCACTGCCCAAAACGAGACCCATTTAATGTTGTTTAACGACTGTTTGTAGCCGGTGTGCTCTCTGTTTCTGATACCTAAGATTGGTAGTGATCGGGGTATGATAGGTATTATTTGATCAACAACAATATTTAATTATAAAGCAAACTATTTGTGATAGTCAGTCCAGTCTTTATTGAGTAAGTGGGAAGATATCCTAAATTATAATACCATTCAGAGGTATCACATAGTCGTATATCCTACACATATCCCTCTTGATTTTGCGCTGTTGAGTTCTGAGTGTTCGGATC